TCTCCGCTAAATAAAAAGCAAAATTCTCTTTATCACTATGCCTCGGAATGCCGCTTTTTATAGCACTCCACGTGCCCTCTATTATATTCGTATGTGCACCTGCTTCAGGATCTTTAAAATGATATATATGGTTCACAGCAAGATGTTGAAAACCTTCATCCTCCAAACATACATATGATTTCCAGCAATCAGATATGATTATTTTACCCGGTAGAATATACTGTTTAATAAAACTTACTAAGAAATCTTTACTTCTATCTCGCACAACCTTAAAAAAACACTTATTACTACCCCTTTCAATCCCACTAAATACCCATTTCAAATTCACTTTAGTTACGGCCATGGGATCCAAAAATTAATCAACACTGTTTCACACAACACACTATGAAGCTAAATACAAAATGCTAAACGCAATAAAAATTTCCCAGATTTTTTTCAGATTCCCCCCCCCTTTTCCGATTAAAGAACTGTAATTCGTCCATTAATGTCACATGACATATCTCATGATCTCTCATTTCCCGCACTCAAAATAATGCGTAATCGGAACTGAGTACTTCTCACATTATTACCAAAGTCCTAGGTAGTAACCTTTATCATCTCCAAAATGTCGCCAAACTACCAGTTACCATATTCCAAAGATCAGCCGTAAACTTAATGAATGTAAGTTTATGACAATAGAAGCTAAAATAAGTAATTATATAAATTTATCTAATAAATGCTGCATAAATACAGGTCTTCATGACAAATACAAAAATCCTTGCTGCTCAGAATGTTAAGGAAACAGGATTTTTTTTTTTTTTTTTTAAATCTTGAAATATATAATAATTTTGTGATGTATAACTAACTACATTCCCTCTAAAAGGTATTCTGTATTAGCTTTTCGGTGAAGTAAACATTGAACCGAAAGGGAATTTTTTTGTGTCACTGCACTTAGGAGCCTTCTAATAGACTATGTGAATTTATGTAGTGAAATATGTAATATAATGCTTTCCTAAAAACCACAGCCATCTTACGTATGCAGGCTGACTTCTGGTTGAGTGGTAATTATGGCCATCATCATGGTTATGAACTGAATACTGGTAATAATTACTGAATAGTGCTAATTATGTCTATCCTCATGGTTATGAACCATGGTGGTGCCTGTCTGTATGGGTCTTTTTATGGTTTTCCTATATATAACATGAATATGAGGAATTTTCCTCAGGATTTCCTGACATGCTCTTGTGTTTTTTCATATTCAAGTAAACAAACTGATATGGGCATATTTAGTTTCCTACATACATCTTAAATTTTATATTAAAAGAAAAACATTTATCTATTTTAAACCTAAGTATGATTTTTTCGTCATTTAATAATTTTTTGTTAAAGAAACCTTTGATACATCAAGCTATGTTTTATCCAAGTGATGGGGTATAAATGCATTTCATAAAGACAGTCCAATGATATGATTTTTTTAAAAAAAGGGTAGTGTTTTTGCATCTGCTGCTTGATTAAGTGAATATGTATTTCTGGGATTATTAAGTATGAGTAAGAAAAATGTTCTTCCAGAACTTTACGTTATATTCTTGGACTAAAGGAAATCTTTATAACTTTGAACTTATATTGGGTAAAAATATATATATGTTTGCCCCTTGGCAGTAATTGGTAATTTTTGGCAGAACACAGACACCGAGTTTGTGCAATTCTTTTTGACTTGTTATTTTGGCTTTGTGTAGCCACGACTTTTGTCACAAAAATCACAGCTATACAAATCCAAAATTACAAGTCAGAATTGCACAAACTTGCTATCCATGTACACATCAACATATTTTCACTTAAAAAAAAATCAGAGAATTGCTCAAACTAGGCATTGCGTACACTGTAGACTTTGTCCATGTATACATTGATCTATATTCACTTAAAAAGTCATCCTCTTCTTATTATGAATGTGCAGTTGCAGTATCTATGATTTTCAATTTAACAAAAAATATATATAATCTCAATAAACTACATTTTAAATCAAGTAATGAAATGCACAAAAAAGGAAATTCATCTTAGCACTACACAAAGGAAATACCCACTTACCTTATTTACAAATTTATGTGTCATCTTTCAAACAAAATTCCTTAACAGCATCCAAAAACTTCCTAAAATTATCTGAACAAGAATCTGTATACTGGGATCGCCACGTAAATTCATAAAATATCCTCCATAGTGACGATATCGTCCGACGTTCGACCATACGCATTTCCTTCCTAGAAACAGTACACTTAATAATGGCTACAAGTAAACCTTCATTTTTCATTTACACACCAGTCAATTAATGCTTTTTTCCCTTTCATTCCAAATTGTACAGAAACTTCAAATTGATCATACCATATTCAGCCATTTTTACCATGTAAACCACAAAGTAACTATGTACTTCTTACACAAAATCCGACACACACTCTCCAAATCGTTTCCCACAATTCCAATTGACGGCAACCACGCAACCAATTATGTCATAATAGGGTTTCCATAACATTCAACTACTCAGGTTACCATAAATGAAACAACAATGCAGGAATAATCCAAGGGGCACCCTTAAATCTACTCTAACCCTTATATTGTAAGTTGACAATCATGAAGTCCATTGGTAAGGAAATTTTTTACTTTGGTGATCATAGTATTTGTCTTTTTTACTTTTGGCCTATACAATTACTAAAATATTAATCCATTCTTGCTCATCATTTTGTTCATCATAATCATCATCCTCTTGTTACAAATGTGCAGTTGCAGTATCTATGATTTTCAAGTTTTTATTTATCATGTTAAGGGCCTCAGTATGATGATGCTACTAATACTGCTCAGTTACTACTGATAATTACTATTCAGTTAATGATGCTACTAGTGCTTGAAAACTGTCAAGAGTGGTACATGTGCAAGGAAAATAAATGATTAATATTTCTACAATGTTTTGAAATAACATATAATACATGGTACAAAAGCTGCATTTCTTTATTTCTCATTCATTTTTTGTAGATTAGTTTTCAAAATCCCTTACTCTTAAAGGTATGAGGAATAGTGTACTTCAGTGTGATCTTGTATTTTAACATTGGTATATTTAATAATACTGTATACACTGTGTTCACAGAAGTTCTTACCTGCCCTTCTTTTTTTCATAATCATTGGTCATAGATGTGTACTACCAATTACAAAATTGTTTCAAATGATACAAATATTCATGTTTTAGTGTTTTTAAATTTAAAAAAGTAAATTTTGCAAAACAAATGAAGTATAACATTTTATACATTCTTCTGGTCCCTATATTTATATTTAGGAAAAATGTGTACTTGTTATAAAAGCACGAAGTGTTGGACTCCCACATGACAAAAATTGACTAGAATATTTCATTTCACAATTTGCTGTCTTTATGTCGTATTCAGTTTGCATTGAGGGGTCAGTTAATAAATAAATCATAATAATTTAAAGTTGTTCCCACCCCATAAATTCCAGTGATGTTTTTTTTTATTTACTAATATCTTTAATTTATCATTTTGTTACATTTTCAGGGTTTGTACAGTCCTTAAAAATACTTAGAAGTCCTTAGGTGTTTTGGAAATGATTTTTTGGTTCTTAAAAGTCTTAAATTTCAGTCAAAACTGGTTAAAGGTCTTTAATTTTACTCATCTGACATTTCTGTCTGGTTTTTTATGACTACCATTTTGAGTGTGAATTAACATTTTGGGTGATTAATTTTTTGGTGATGCATTGACAGATATGTATTTGAGATGTTAGCGTTTTAATTTCTTCTTACTTCTTAATATACATGGTAGATACTCAAAATTACGCAGGAGGCCTTGCATTGACTAAAACATAAACATTTCGAAATAATTTTTTTTTTTTTTTGCGAATGAATAGTTCATAAAATGTTAGCTATATGCATTCTGTTATTATGTGGTGCTAAATTTGATAACTTTCCTACATTTTGGAGATTTCAAGATCAGTTTGTATATGAAGTTTTTTTATTCGAAGATTTATATTTCAAAAAAGATGCATAGGTTTATTTAATATTTTGTATTTTAAATACTAGATGAAACACAAGCAAATCAAGAGCACACATATATAGTACACTGAAGTAATTATTACATACTGCCATAAACTTTTTCCACCGAAAAGTGTGTTTTTCTTTATGTATGAGCTATTGCAGCAACAGTGATAATATACGCTACAACTTTGTCAATATTATCCAGGGTTATTTGTTATTCTGTGTAAATTAAAAAAATCATACCAAATAGACTGCCCAATTGGTACCAGATTTTTTTAAAAATTTCATTCTATTATTATTTGTTTTATAAACACTCAGATGTGTCCACCTTGCTGATATAGTTCTCATCTATGTGATAAACTATGGCAGTATATGCAGTTGGTCAGAGTCACAGTTTTGGGTCATAGGGTTGTAAAAATCCTGGAAATTAATGGGACAATTTCTCTGGACATGGTCCAGAGAAAGAATCCATGATAAACCCCAAAAAGTGACATGAAGATTAAGTTTGAAGGCTCTAGTGGCAGCTACCTTAGCAGTGGCTACTACCTTAACAATGTAATCTCACCATCCTGTGTGTTTCATCCACTTATAACAGTATTTTCACAAGTAATCTTTGTGGTAAATTTTAAAGGTATTTTTGCAAGATCTTCATAATACTCTGTTGTAGTGAGCTCTGGCAGCTTTCTTGTTGAAAGAAGTAATAATTACAGTTTTCATTACTTAGTTGTCTGCTGTAATAGCAAATATGAATGTATTAAGGCTTTGTGTTTTTTTTTTTTTTTTTTTTTTTTTTTTTTTTTTAATTACAGAGTAATACTGAAAAACTGTGAATGATATAAGTAAACATAGTAATTTTTTTTTGGTAATTTCTCAGTCTTGAAATTTAATATCTTTTATTATCTTATAGATCTGAACTAAAGCAATCTCATTGGGAAATCATGCACATGATTGCTGGTAATGGTTTACAGATGTTGTCGAAACATGCTTATCAACCTGATGAATTAGATTTCTTTGCTGAATTCTTGAGATTTTTAAGGAATTGTTGTGCTGGATCGCCTACAAATCAGTATTTCATTATGAGGTATTTATATCATAAATTTATAGTACTTATGTATTAATGCAACTACATTAGTACAATTAGTCTCTTTCTTTCAGATGAAAATGTGAAAGTTACTTATCAGATGCAATCTGACGACTTTCTCTACTTTTAAAATTGATTCTCAAACAATCAATGTTTATCGTAATTCGGCAAACATTATTTACATATCAAAGGCAACTTGAAATGTAAATTTTAATTATTAAATAAGGATTTTATGATTCATTAAAAAATAAAACAATGTTTAGTGAAATCCTTCTAATATTCCCTCCCCTCCATGTATATAATGATCTTTTTTTACTTAAAAAAATTACAGAATTCCAGAACTTGATGTTGGACATAACCTTGCCATATGGTTACTGAGTATCTATCAGACATTACTGAGTAGACTAGTTACTGAGTATCTATTAGACACTTCTCATCATTATTCCTTTTAATAGTTTTGGGAAAAAAAAAAAAAAAAAATGTATTCTGCAGAAATTTTACTGTAGTTTCTTATGCAGAAATTTTACTGTAGTCTAATTCCACATATGCATAATTTAAGATTGAGTTTAAGGGGAAAATATTAAGATTTTTCATAACAATTCTTGGTAAAAAATTTGGTACTCGGGACCAGATTCAGAAATATATGCATGTGTGTACGTAGGTATGTCTATATATGTGTGTGTATATTCTCATATATACATATGTATGCACACTGCACACACACAAAAAATAAATAAATAAATAAATAAATGGGACAGTTCTATATCTTCCATTCTACTAGCTGATTGGCGAAATTCAACTTGCGTTTTTCACCTCTCGAAAGCACGGAATATGTATTAGATTTATATATAGCATTGTTCTAATGTAGATATTTTGACACAAAATTGGACTTTTTCGAAATGACATGCTAATTTTTTCCCCATATTTCGATTCTAGGATTCAAATTATACCAAATTGCCAAGTTTTGTAAAAATTGCATGAGTAGATTTTAAAACATTAGCTGTCAAAATTTTAGTTCCTCAATGTTAATTGAATTTGATTTATATTCATTAATATCCTTTTTTATTAAACTTATTTGATTCTTTCTTTGATATTTCGAAATTTAGGTTCATTCCAAAAACATTTGTCTATTTCTTATGGTTTATTTTTAAATAATTTTTATAAATTTTTTGAAAGAAGTGTTGAGTTATAATCTATAAAGGTTTTACCATCATCTTAAAGTAGATGTATTTCTAAGCATACCTGCAAAAAGTTAGTTTTTTATTCAAAATGTCCCAAGATATACGTGAATTTATATATTGACGCATTTTGAAATTTTTCATATTTGTTGAAAGCTATAATAGCATTAAATATCATTTAGGCACTTTGTTTCTACAGATTTATGTAGACTGTGAATGGCAATGGTAAAAGAAAAATATGATTAGAATAATAATGTTTTAAAAAGATCAATGTCCTTAAAAGTAATAAATAATTTTCTTTAAAATACAGTAGTGAAAATTTATTCTTAAACAGATAAATAACGTTTTTGTGTTGTAGTTGAGTATGCATTTGCTGTTGGTTTATGCAGATCAGAGTTGCTAATAACAATGTTAAGTGACAAGTGGCACCAATGAAATTCGATGTTCTTAGCTGCTCTTCTCATAGACAGGGCTGTAACTTGTGATCTTTTGTTTCAAAGTAAGATGCTTAGTGATTGTGCTAAAAGAGCTCTTCATGCAAACATATTGAAGCAGTGTCTTTTCTGGGCAAAAGGAGTTATCAGACTGGACATTTTTTTCTTTTTGTATATAAATATCTTCTGTGTTTGTTATAGTTAATAATTCATTTATCATGTTTTATTTAGATCATAATACAAGATGTAATCATAGCAATGGAAAAATTATTTAAATCATTCTTTAAGTAGTTAACTATATTTTATTAATGCATTGTGAAATGAAAGTACACGTAAAAGAATTTTCATTTGATTTTTAAAGGAGCTTGGTATTTCTTTGAATATAATAATGAATGATAAATTAAAAAAAATATACATGATACCAGAAGTTTCAGGGACTTCAAGAAATTTTTTAAATTGTATAAAGTTTTTTCCTTGGCACTAAGTAATGATGATACGTTGTTATGAATATTCATGCTTTTGAAATCTAATAATGTATTATGGCTTTATCTGGGGGGGAGGAAATCTATTCCATAGCTATTTCTAAATTTAATAAAAATATTTTGCTCATCTTGCTAAATATTACTATTTAGTATATTAGTAATATGTGGTATAATCTTGTGAAATGTTTGTCTAAAATATTTTAATATCAGTGTAATTTATATTTGCAGTCATTAAAACTTATGTTTTTTCTTGCAGTTCAAATACAGTTTTTAATTTTGCGAAAAAAATAGTAACCTATTTCTTGCAGAGAACTGGCGAGAAAGGTATGTTTAGTATTTTCAATGTTGCCAATATATAAACTACATCACAAGTTGGCTGTTTTTTTTTTTTTTTTTTTTTTTTTTTTTCTCCCCTTAGTGAAATAATTTATTTTTAAGGCTGCACAAATCTTCTATTTTTTAGGGTGTATTTTTTCTAAATGGAAGTACCGAGACAAGTATTTGCTCCTTATCTTGCATTTTTTGGGGTGTGGAAAGCGTAGAATATTAGGCAGTAATTTTCTTTCCTACCTTTTCAGCATTTATTATTGCCTCAAAAGTTTCAACTGCATCTTTCTTCTGCATGTAATTCGTGGTAGTATTTTGATGTACAGGTATACACTCTTAGTTATTTGAAATAATGTTGTGCACATTATTGCACACATTTCTTGATACTAGGATCCCTTTGATAATACTCCACCGCATGCTGTTCCATAAAAGGAAGGTCCCAAAGTTTTTAATTATTTTTTCTAAAATGCAAGAGAAAAAGAAATAAATGGCAATTATATCCATCTTTACGGCAACTGAATTAATTTATAGAGAACTAAATGGGTTTACATAAAATGTAGAGCCTCCATAAGAGGCAGCCTGTGTCACCAGTTTTAAGATTATATGCTGCAAATAGCATTCATTATTTTGTTGTGTGAAAGAGAGTATTTCAAACCTCTTTCCACTACTGGAAAATTAAACCTGTCTAGCAAATGACAGCCATGTTTGCAAAATCAAAACATGTTTACAAATCCTTGAAAATACTTGTGTCAATGACTTGTAAACAGGTTTTTAAATAATGACATGTAATAATTTTAGTGAATTTTTTTTCTGTGTTGAACCAATGACATAATGTAAGATGCTACAAACAGGAAATGTTGAACCTCAGTGTACAGTGTGTAACTTTAATACATAAAGGTTCTCTGTTTACTTAGTTTTATATCGAGCACTGCAGTTGTAATATGCTAAAAATGAATAATACAGTACTAAGTCCAAGATCCAGACTCATCGGGACTTCGGCAGTACCAGATTTGGAATTTTTTTGGATATTAGATCATCAGTTAAAATGTAGTAATATGGCATGTGGAAATCATAAAATTAAAAATATGAAATTGTGATTTATGAAATAATGAAGCATCTATGATCTAAAGAGTATCAAAATTCACACACACACACACACACACACAAAAAAAAAGCTTATTTATTTGTTTACTTTATTAAACATTTCTTTCAATGTAAGTTGTTTAAGCTTATTTGTATTTTGTGCTAATAATTTATTTTTGTAGGCAGCTATAATTTCTTGTTCTGGTTACAAAGTTGTTCAATTCTTGTATTAAATCATTAAATAATGAGAATTCTGACTAACCTGTCAATCGAAAATTTAACGTTTTCAATAATCTCTGTTATTATATTCCCTACTGGTAGTGGTATTTTCTGGATCTAGAACCACACTACAGATTTCACTGTCTATTAATTGATTGATGATTGTCATTGCAGTGAAAAGCTTTTGTTATATCATCTTATTACTGCTTCTCTACATTTCTTTACAAAATCCATTAATTGGAAAATTTCACCTTTGGCTTGTGATATCCAAAAACCTTCAAATTTGCAGATATCATCATTCTCACCATGAAATATGGTAGCTGGCCATGTATTATGCCAAGTAATTTAAAAATGATCTGGAGACATATCCTACCTTGATCTTGCGATGCTCCACACAGCAAATTTTATGCTAAAATATTTTTAAAATTCTTGAATATTCTTGCCATTATTCAAGAAATTTAACATGGATTTAACAGTGCTACTTTATACTTACGTTTCAGTATGCACGCTATTTTGATATCCATAGGCTGAATGATGGGCATACATTTTGGAGGAGTAATAATATAGATACATCATCTTTCACTAAAACTTTAAGCAATGTATGAGCCAAATAGTTATCTATAATAATGATAATTTTTGCATCATCAGGTAAACCAACTGAATTCAAATGTTGCTGGGCCTCAGGTATGAAAGGATTTTCAAACAAATAAGTCATTAATGCTTGTGTCATTCATGTTCTTTTATTTGCACAATATATAAAAGGGGGAACTAGAGGTTTTTCAGTGAATTCATCTGCAAATAGTTCAACAGCTTGAGTATCAGCTGAAGCTTTTTCATCTGAAATTTTTATTTGCCTTATACCATGGTGGTTTCTAAACTAGGTTAACCAACCTGTCAAATATGTGCACTCAGTTTTTAAGTCCATTTCTTCATGAAATATTTTGGCTTGAGCCATTAGCATTGGAACCATCAATGGTATGCCCTCACTGCAATGCTGTCTTACCCATTCAGTCATCACTTTGTTGTGATTGTCACTTTTAGCATAACAAATAAGTTTTCTGTTGTTCATTACAAATGGAGTGTCAGAATCCACAAAAAAAATTTAAAAGTTTCTTTTTCTGTTTTCTTATATCATATAGAGTTGACTTTCCAATGCCATACTCTTTACATAATTTTGAGATGGATATACATTTATCCATTTTTTTTTTCAGCAATTTCACATTTTGTTTAACTGACATTGAAACATGCATTCACTTTTTTTGATCCTGTTGCAGCTCCAGAATTAGAAACTCTTTTCGACGTAATCGAAAGTTTAAACTTTAATTTTCATACAATTGCTGTAGTAATTGACTGCAAAAAATAATAAGCTGAATCAAATCAGAAAGTTAAGGAATGCCACAGTCTGCTATATTAGCTGAAATACCTTGGAATAAGTAAAGTATAATTTTAGCCTAGCTTAATAGCATCCTCTAACATTATTTGCTCTGTATCTTGAGATTGGCGATGAAAGACAAGTTGTTCTGCTAAATTTTGTCTTGCTTCTATCACACACTGACACACTTAACCCTGAATTATATTGGTTTAGTTCTTTATTATACTTATGTCTATTTCTTGCATATGCTTAAGGCTTATCAGAGTCTTGAATAAATAAATTTCCACATATATTTAAGGCTAATTGAGGGCCAGTGCTAGGTATTTTACTGCACTGCCCGGTGTGGCCAGAGGGCTCTGGTGCCAGTTCTGAGTTAATGTAAATAATAAATTAGTTATTCTTTATTCAAATAGTACTAAATTTATATACTAAATGTAATCTTCTGGCCTATGGCTGTCATTAACAAAATCTATTTCTAGCATATAGAGACATTAGGATGTTTTTGGAGGTCCGAGAGATAAAAAATTAGCAACGCCTTCACTGGGAATCGAACTGCGCTGAGTGTGCAGACCACTACACCACGAAGGCTTGTTAAGAAGGCGGGAGAAATACCTTATATACTCCCCCTTTAAAGGGTGACTGGGGTTTTTAGGGGACCCAATTGCCAAATCCTGGTGAGGAGAATCATCATCCAACACTCTTTTAGTTTGGGTGCCACTGTAGAGACATTAGGTATTTTTTTGGAAGCAGGCAAGATGAAAAATTAGCAATGCCTTTGCCAGGAATCAAACCGCGGACCTCTCATATACACGTTGAGCATGCAGACCACTACACCACAAAGGCATGCCAAGAAGGCGGAAGAAAAACCTTATATATTTCCTTTTTTAAAGGGCGACTGGGGTTTTTAGGGGACCCAGTCACCAAATCCTGGGTGTAGAGAATCATCATTCAAGAGCCTTTTAGTTTGGGCACCACTGTAGAGACATTAGGTTTTTTTGGAAACCAGAGAGATGAAAAATTAGCAATGCCTTCTCCACGAATTGAACTGCGGACCTCTCAATTACGTTCTGAGCGTGCAGACCACTACACCACGAAGTTTCGTTAAGAAAGAGTAGGAAAAGTACCTTATAAGCATATGGAAAGAAACTTTTGTTAAATTTTTCCTTGTTAACATTTCCTGGAACATTTAACTTAAATCTGTAATCATCACCAAGTGTAATGTCAATATAAAAGGTTACCATACTCTTTGTTAGTCAATTTCTAACATTAAAAAAATTTAAAAAAAAAAAAAAAAAAAAAAAAAAAATTAAAAAAAAAAAGAGTTGTTTAGGCATCGGTGCATGATTCATTGCTGAAGTGTTGATCAACATGCGGTGATGAAATCAGAATATAATAAATAATGATTTGCTAGGGTACTGCCAGGAATATTAAATATTAGTATGTGTAAAATGAAAAATGTTTCTGTGTAGAACGTTTTGGTTTGGGAGGAGATACACAGCTATGGAGCCAAATTATTGGTCACACAAATTTATGCTAAAATGACTGTTTCTTCAATAACAAGGTGTTTTATTTAATGCCAGAATGAAATTAAGAATTGGGACTCTCCACATGTTTTATTATTGGGGGGGAATCAAATGTGTGTGCATAAAGCATACAAAAAAATTTCATTAAGGGGGGGAGGTTGTTGGTGGCTTTGAGGTCCGGATTTTAGATCATTCCAGATATTGTGCGTCCGGATCTCAGACTTCATACTGTATTTATTTTTTATTTATTTGTTTTATATAAATATTACTTTTGGATCACCAGCCTCATAAAAAACAGAAGAAATGTTAATAACTAAATGGAATATAAGGAATTTGATTTCAGCCTCATTGTTCATTGCAGATTTATAAAGTGTTGTTAAACAAATTATCTTAATACCAGGCTTATAACAATTTTAAATTTTATTTCAGTTATGTGCTGTATATAGTGCAGAGCTTACGAGTTAATACGCAAAATTCAGAAATGAAATAAATCAATTTTTTTAAAAAAATTTTAAATCATTTTAGATTTATCTATTACAAATCTCTGCTCAACAACACAGAGTAAAATGTTCAACAACACAGAGTAAGTATGTCAGTTAATAGTGGAGTTTAGAAATAAAAATAGGTGTAGGTAGAGTCTGTTGTGTTAAGCCACTTTGAGAGTGCAAATTCAGTTTTTGAAAAAATTCAAGCTATGGTCTTAATTTTTTTTTTTTTTTTCCTAATTTAACATTATATAGCAGTTTAGTTCATTCAGCATAGGTAATATCATAAACAAGAGGCATGATCTAAGTAGAGCA